AAAATAGATAAAAAATTAAAAAGACACACTAATACATACATACATACATACACATACATACGCATACATATTACATATATATATATACATAAATGCATACATACACACATACATACATACTTACATATACATACATAATAACAGTATTAAACGAGGGCACAAATATTAATTTGAGTACTATTTTAATTACAATTTACTGATTACCTTCAGCTGGATAGAATAAAAACTTGTTAATTTTATTTTTAAATCCACTTTTAGTATTATTAAAAGGAAAATTGCGCTAAATTTTTTTATCGTAAGTCGCTACTAAATGCGTTAGAACATTGTTTTTCCCATAATGGGTCGGGTGAAAGGGGATGTAAAACAAAGAGTTTCTGGTATGTCTGGTACGTTTCAATGGGACATTAAATTTAATGAAAGCCAATAAGTCAGGACAGTCAATTCCTCCGTGTAATATATCGAATAAAAGCCCCATATCCAGCAGAATACGTCTTTCTTCAAGCATTAACAGACCGTAAAATCTGCAATCGTCTCGATATGAAGAGCCAGAACGTCTAAATTTAAAATTTAAATGGGAAACGAACTTATTCTGAATCATAAATGAAAATAAAATGGTGATCATATCTGAGAGGCGTACTCTAATATAGATCTTACATATGTGAAATATACTACTTTTAGGCTTTGAGAATTAGAGAAAGGAAGACAAGTTCTAGCTACAAATCCCAAATTACGAAACGCTTTACTGCAAATAGCATCAATATGCTTATTTATAAGTCAAATGGGATTTAATGAAACACTGACACTTACAAACATTTACCATGATTTTATTAGCGACATAGAAATGGTATAATATATTTAAGTCATTTTGAATTAGTTCACAGTCCTTGATAGTGCGTACACGCAGATATATTTTTTTATCATCAGCATAAAGTAAATGTTGAGAATTTTTAATATATTGACATATATCATAAATATAGGCGTATTAAAAGGGAGGACCAAGGTGGGAGCCTTGAGGAACACCAGAGGGAACCGGTATGAAATCTGACCTATAACCACGCCTAGAACCACAGCTTGAGAGTGGTTAGTCAAATAAGATCTAATCCATCTCAGTAAGTTCCCATGAATGCCGAGAGACTGCAGCTTCTAAAGAAGTATGACGTGATCCACACGGTCGAAGGCTTTTTCAAAGTCGGTGTAGATCACGTCAACTTGACCTCCACCTTCCACTTCATGAAGAACGTAATTAGTGAAATTTGCAAGATTGGAAATAGTAGAACGCTTTTTCAGAAAACCATGTTGCGTACTCGGGATGTGTCTAACTATTGTAGCATAAATTTTATTAAAAATAAGTCTCTCAAATATTTTAGCAATTGTACTGAGAATAGAAATTGGACGGTAATTATCAATTTTGTTTTAGAACCTTTTTTATGAACCGGATATTATATGCCTTTTTCCAAAGTGTGGGAAACACACATTCTCTGAGGGAAAGCTTAAAGAGCGACGTAATTGGATAACTAAGGCTCTCGGCGCAGGCTGACAGCAAAACTGGAGGTACTCCATCGTAACCCGCTCCCTTATGGGTGTCCAGGTTTATCAGACATGTTAGTATAAAATCCTGAGAAACGTCAATTTGAGAGATATCATCACTCCATGACGAAAAGACAGTATCACAGTATTACAAAAGTGTGAACTAGAATCAGTCAAAGAAGAAACAGTAAATACACTTTGAAAGAAGGCATTAAAGGCAGAGCAAATATCCTGTCCCTACGTTTAAATAACGTTTTTAGACTTAACAAATTTCCAGAAATACTTTCGAATTCTTTAAATTTTTCTCAGTATTACGAATAAAATCATCAAAACATTTTTTTTGTTCTATGTAGTCTATCCCTGAGAAGCTAAAAATTTAACAACCCTCGTGATTATGAGGAGTTTACCTCATAATCACGAGGGTTGTTAAATTTTTTCCATTTTTTGTGTGCCTTAAATTTTTCACGAATTATTTTAATAAGTGCTCGGCTGTACCAACACGGGTAATGATTACTAATTTGGGAAGATAGTGGTACAAATAAAGTAAAACATTCGTGGAGTTTTTCTTAAAAAAATAAATCTCAACGGCTTGGTCGACTGTATTTGTGTTTAATAATAATTGATCCCAGTCTACTCTTTTTAAAAAGTTATTTATGTTAACATAATTACATTTTCGGAAATTGTATTTTTAGTGAAAATATTCTTTAAATGGTTTTACAAAAATGTCTTGTATATCAATGGTAAAAGGTGGGTGTAAGGTGTCGACTTTAGACAAAGGGTCAGAATGGTTGATTTCCAAGCATAAGTTTGAGAAACATAAATCCAGTATATTGTTACAACGGTTGGGGAGCAAATTATATTGATTCATGCCAAAAAAAACATAAATCCTCGGCCAAAACACTGTCAGCTTTTTGAATATCAGCTTGGCCAGAATGTATTGTCGACCATCCTGAGGAGCTCCATTTTAAACAAGGTACGTTAAAATCGCCAACTATAAGATAATCGTCAGAGGGTGCCAGTAGGTAAAAGCGTTCAAAGTTGTTTCGGAATTCATAAATACAATCGGATAATATACAATACAATACTCTTTATTGCACACACAATAATAAAAAGAACAACAAACTTAAATTGATAAATTTATGTACAATTAGGTGGCCTTATCGCTAAACAGCGATCTCTTCCAGGCAAACCTTGGTGAAGGAGATCTTTTACATACAAAAATATAGAAGTGTGCATAAATAGTAGTTAAAAATCATGCATAACACATAAAATATATATATATATATACATAATCATACACATATATACATATCCATACACATACATATTTATACATATACATATTTATAAATATTTTTGTAACACATAGCTACACATTATATACATACCATATATACACAAACCTTATCAAGTATAGTAGATATGATAATGAAATATATTAAGTAGAACACATATTTAAATAATAATTTTTAACCAGTTTTTTGAAAGACTCAATGTTTTGGGCTTTCTTAATTGTTAAAGGAAGCGAGTTCCATAATTTAATTGCTTTGACACAAAAGGAAGAATTAAAAAATTTTGAATTGTGAGCAGGCATTCGCAAAATAAGCTTATCGGATAATCTGGAATGATCTTTATCTGCACCCGCAAACTCAAATTTTTCCTTTAAATACTTCGGTGTTTTAGGATCAAATAGTACACAGTACAGTTGAGATAGAATGTGAGTATTCCGACGAAGTCTGATAGTCTGGAGGCCAAATATGAACCTAATAGCGAAATTCTGAAGACGCTCAAGTTTATTTAATTGATCCTCAGTAAGATTAGAATAGCATACATCAGCATAATCAAGGATAGGGAGTAACAAGGACTGTGCCAGTAAAATTCTAGTAGGAATCGGTAATGAGTTACGCAAACGTCGTAAGGAAGATGATGCCGCGAACATCTTAGTCTATTAACATAATATGTTATCATTTGGTGGTATATAAACTAAAATAATATTCAAGTTACAATTTGAATTAAGAAAACGTGCCGATAGACTCACACATAATGATTCAAATCCTTTACAATTCCAATCATTACGACGCGTAGCGCATAGTTCTCTCCGAGTACAGATCATTACCCCGCCACCCGTCCTTTTTTCCGTTGTTGCTAAGTCACGGTCACAGCGAAAAATATCGAACCTACCATCACAAACTTCGCTAACAAAAATATCACTCTGCAGCCAAGTTTCAGACAACAGTATAATAAGTACACACATACAATATATAATAGACTGATGTAGATGTCTATGGGCCGCAGCAACCACTTACCATCAGGTGGACTGTGTGTTTGTTACCCTATCTTATATAAAAAAATTATAAAGTGCACTGTGTGCAATCGTAGCGATATTTTCCTATTGGCAACATTGGTTTAGACGCCATCTTGATTATCCTCGCCGCATCAGTCGTCGTGAGAAGCTAGTGTCAACATAACGTGCGTAGCATCAAGTTTTGTCAAAAGAGTGTTTTTCGCGCTATTTTTGTTGATTCGCAATAACCCCAACATATTTATCTCGGAATTCTGGTAAGTTATTTCAATAAATGCTTGTTTTTGCGATACGTTGTAATTTTTAGCGAATTCGTGAGAGGAAAACAGCGTACTAGCTGTGTTTTCAATATTTTTTTCATACATACCCCTAAGGGGTGATTCCAATGTAATTCAAAGTAATCTTAGAAATTGACAGTGATTCTCAATCTGTACGATCAGATGATTTGCATGACATTACATGAAGTATGCAAAATTTTTATTATTATTTCGAATTTTGTTGGAAAACTTGGGTTTATTGTAGATAATGATTCTATATTACTAATCATTACTTATTAACCGACCTCAAAAAGAAGGAGGGTTTTCTAATTCGACTGTATATCTGTTTTGTGTGTATTTTACACGATTTCTTCGGCGATTATGAACCGATTTTAATTATTCTTTTTTTATTTGTTAGAGGAAACGGACTTTGTTCCATATTTTAATAATTTTTGTTGAATTTTTTTAAAAATAACTGCAACAAATGGGTTAATAAGCTTCAATAAACGACATTTAATTTACTTCGCCTAACAGCAAAAAGTGGTACGTGTAAGTCACTCGAAATAGAAAAAAAATTAATACCGTCTTCAAAAAGAACGCTATAATGTGTGTGAGGCAGTTTCGAAATTCGGTACCCAATAAACCAAATCAAAGAATCAACTTCCAGCATCTACTTCCTAAACTGTTTCACACATATTGCGTTCTTTTTGAAAGCGGTTTTAACTTATTTTAATACAGGTGTGACGTATGTGTTAAGTAAGTAGGTACTTATTTCTTTTTCAGAGCCATTATGCCTCGGACTTACATAAGAAAGAAAATTAAATCAAACAGAAGATTTAGCTCAAGCGATCGCAAAGTTAAAAAATGGAGAACTTACGCAATATAGAGCAGCGCAAGAGTACAAAATTCCAATGATGACTCTTCATGAAAACTTAAAAAGAGGTAAAGAAACTACCAGACCAAATGCAGGTAGACCAACCGTTATACGCCTAGAAGATGAGAGAAAATTAGCAGAAACTGTCAGAATTATGGAAAAATGGGGATATGGTCTGTCTAGGTTTGAAATTATGGAGCTTGTCGCTGAATATGTGCGGGTGAACAAGATTCAAACACCATTTAAAAATAATGTCCCAGGCACAGACTGGTTCATTAATTTCCGGAAACGACATAGATTATCAATTAAAAAAGCACAGCCTGTAGAATTTGTAAGAAGAAAAATGACAGATCCATTCGTCATTGGTGAATATTTCAATTTGCTCGAAAATACTTTAAAAGATTTGGATCTTTTTGAAAGTCTCCAACTCATTTGGAACTTAGTGAAACGTCATTATGCCTGGATCCATCCAGAACTAAAGTATGTGGACAAATAAATAAACCTTGTGCAAGGTCCACCCATCGGAGTGGAAAAGAAAATATCACTATGTTGACAGGCGCAAGCGCTAATGGCAAGAAGTTGCCGCCTTTGATTGTATTTGGTTTTGGGATCAGTGGATGGCTGAACTGGTTGGTGGTGATTACGATTTCGAATTATCGTATGCAGCCAGTACTAAAAGGTGGATGGAAACAGACATTTTCTATAATTATATAGAAAAAGTTCTTATCCCAAGTCTGGGCGAGGAGCGCCGGTTTTTATTTATGATGGTCACTACTGGTACTGGAAGTCAATATGGGATGCCAAACTGGTAGAGTGGTAGTTGGCACGAAAATGCCAAAAAAAGTTTTCGCTCAAGCGCTGGCAGATATTTGTAGAGAAACAAACCCCAATATTATCAAAAGTGGATTTAGAAAAGCTGGGGTTTTCCCTTTTAATGCGCACGTGATACCTGTGGAAAAGTATGATCCAGATGCATATAAAACGTACCAAAAAAAGACATTAGAAGAACATTTTGCTTCCACACAACCGACAACAAAAAACCCGAAGTCACTACAAGAAATTTATGTATTTATGTGAATAATACTATTCATTTTTCTCTATATATTGTAGTAAGCTATATGACGGATAACTTTTACCTGATGATGATTGAAAAATCAACCCTTAGCATATACTTTGAAATCATTTTTTATTATTATTCTCTTGCATAAAATTGCTAAACTAATCGCACAGCAAACCACAGTATGTTAAAAACCTAGTATTTAATACGCGTTTTTAAAATTAACATTATGATAATTTAAACGAACCTTTTTATGAATTACACTATGCCAGATAATTTTAATAAAATTTGACCCATTTTTAATATATTTCTCATCAAAAAAATCGAAACACCTTCGTTTTAATTTGTTAAAAAATTGAAACACCTAATTTAATACAAAAGAGTTTTCATTCCATGAAAAAAAAACGTTATTGTATAGCTGGCAATCTGGCCATTACAATGGTAAGCGAAAATTCAAAATTCGAAATTAGAATTTCATTTGTTTACCCTCTAAATGAAATGAATCACTATTTTGAGACAAATGTGCGTCTACGGTTGGACACCATTTCAGGTTTAAAAACTAAAAATTTGCGTTTATCTTTAACGTTTTTGTTTTTAATTTGTTTACTATGACTTTAAGACGTCTGAAAAAAGTTTTATTTCCTAAAACATATGGATACTTCGCCCACAGAAGCCGCCCAAGTGGTGGCATTGCTGGATTCTGGACTTAGTCAGCGTGTTGTGGCTCGAACATTGCATCAAAGCCTGTCATCTGCTCATAGAGTCTACAACCGCTATCGAGAGACTAGTATGTTCACGCGCCGTTCTGGATCTGGTAGGAATCGGGTCACTTCTGAGAGAAATAATCGATTTATTGTATCAACTTCTTTACGAAACCGGCGCCTTAATGCATTTCAACTGCAGCAGCAGCTTCAAGTTGTACGAAGTGTCGCTGTAAGTGACTCTACAATTGGAAGAAGGTTGAAGTAACGTGGACTGGTACCACACAAGCCAGCAAATGGACCTAAATTAACTGCAGACCATCGAAGAGCGCGCCTTGACTTTGCACGAGAGCACCTAAATTGGTCATACCTCCAATGGAGCAAAGTTCTCTTCTCTGGTGAATGTAAAATCATGCTCTATGGTAACGACGGAAGGAACAAGGTCTACAGAAGAGATGGAAAACGCTTTGCATAATGCTGCATTGAAGAAAGGGTCAGTTATGGTGGTGGTTCGTGGACGGTTTGGGGAGGAATCAGCGCCGACGGTACGACAGAGCTTGCCTTCCTGTCTGGGCCACGTCTACCTGCTTTGAACTGTCATTGGTACGTGAAACAGTACCTAGAGCCTCACGTGATGCCCTATGCACACTTTATCGGCAACGGGTTCACATTTATGCACGATAATGCCAGAGCCCACACTGCGAGCGTCGTACGTGATTACCTTACCGAAGTCGGTATCTCCATAATGGAATGGGGAGCAAGGAGCCCGGACATGAATCCAATTGAACATCTCTGGGATCAACTAAAGAGGCAAATCCGAGCGAGAGATCCTGCCCCAGACTCACTCGACCAGCTGAAAAGTGCCATTCGGGAAGAATGGGACAACATCCCACAGCATGTCATTGTAACTCTAATCCGATCGATGAAAAACCGGATGGAAGCGGTGATAAGAGCTCTAGGAGGGAAAACTAGTTATTAAACGTTATTTAATAAAAGTTTTTCAGTTTTTTTTTTCACCTACGTGTGTTGTTTCATTCATTGCCTTCGTTCTCCATACAAAACAAAATGACTCATTAAAGAAAACATGAAACCTATGAAAATTTAATTTGAATTTAGAAAAATAACATTAGAATTTGAAAACCTCATAAAACTCGCTATTAAGTGACATTTGATATTTATTCGTAAATAATAAAAAAAAATGATAATCCTTACAAAACATAAACTTGCAAGGTGTTTCGATTTTTTTGATGAGAAGTGTAGCGGCGCTGTCGTCGCGCCACAAGCGAAATACACCGAAGCTTAAATCACGCTATCAACATTCCGAATCATAGACAGTATATATAGAACTTCTCCGAATTATCACATGGAGTGTGAGCCGCTCCCCGGGCAGAACACCTTGCCCGGCGGGAGATCTCCCCTTTTCCTTTCACGGCCACAGTGGTGACCCCGACGTGATCTGAACACGTAACCAACAACCTTCGGAAACTTCAAGCTTCATCATCGTCATAAAATACCCCACCCATTCGCTACCTAGCAGATATCGTCTGCAGTCTTCATATCCTGCAAGTCATCTAGCTTCACAAGGTTCATCGCAGCACTGGAATAATAATGCTTCCTGTTCCTTCAAGCTACTCTCTGCGCTACAGTGTTCGGCACGGCTCTGAGCCTCACTGCTCGCCTCTGCTTCACGGCACTCTCGCAGATCACTTGCCTTCTTCTCGACTCACCGCAGACTACAAGGCAATCTCCTGGCACTTGCACATTCGTCGGCAACGAGGCTGCACTATCGACCTCCGGTCTGAGCAGGGGGTGATGTAGCGGCGCTGTCGTCGCGCCACAAGCGAAATACACCGAAGCTTAAATCACGCTATCAACATTCCGAATCATAGACAGTATATATAGAACTTCTCCGAACTATCACTCGGAGTGTCGGCCGCTCCCCGGGCAGAACACCTTGCCCGGCGGGAGATCTCCCCTTTTCCTACCACGGCCACAGAAGTATATTATGTACTCACTCCTTCTTCATCTTAATACCCATGACTGCGGGTAGAAAGTATAGCCGATTATGTCAATCTACAGACATATAATTATTCTACTATTATTGGTTGGTTCCCATATGGAGGGATTTCCAACAGAGATGCGCCTGCTGTACGCGACAGTTCATTACTGTAAGGTATCTGCGCTTCAGGTCTATATATAATGTCGGATACTTATTCGCCAATGCGTGCTCTAATCCCGTAACCTTTCAGCTCGAGTTACAAAACCGTTTTCAGTGCCTAGAAGAATGCAATGAAGTGGACGATAGGAATGATAAGCTCGTAGAAGTTTTCCATACGGTCGGAGCTAAGTTCTGCAAGACTTGCCGCAGAAGAACACAAAAAAATCTCCCATCACATTCTTAATCTAATAGCTGTTAGACGGGTAATAAAGCTGCAGTCTTTTGACAGCATACAGGCAACTGAACAGACAGATCTCCAAATGCATGCTGCGGGACTTACGCAACTTTAATGCTGCCCGTATTAAAGAAGCGATCAAGCGAAACCAAGGCTCCGAATATTTTTACAGAGATCTGTCTGTCAAAAAGAGCGAACTGTCAAAACTGAAGACTTTGGCAGCATTGTTTCTGGGACACCTGAGATTTTCAATGAGATTGAAAGATTCTATGGGCAGCTGTACATATCATTGTTGGAGCCACACGCAGGTGTAAGTAACGGTCCAAGAGCAAGTCTTTCCGACACTATTCCGATAATATCCCGGGCGTCAGTCTGAGCGAGATTAGAATGACTCTCCAGGAACTTAAAAACTGTAAGGTCCCAGGCGAGGATCAAATTACAGCGGAGCTTCTGAAAGTGGGTGGAACACCAGTACTTAAAGTCCTTCATAAGCTCATTAATTCCGTCCTCCACGGTGGAATTACTCCGGAGATATGGAGCAGAATTGCGATGGTCTTGTTCTTCAAGATAGGTGACAATGCTCTTTTAAAGAACTACAGACCGATTTCTCTTCTAAGCCGCGTCTACATATGTGCTGTTTTCGAGAGTCATTATGAATTATCTCGCACGCATACTCGACGACTTTCAGCATCCTGAACAAGCCGGTTACTAGTACCATATACCACAATACTATAGACCAATATATAATTATATAGAAGTATTATAGACCACATACATACCCTGGTTCAGACTACAGAAAACCGAAGAGTAAAATCTGCCACTTTACCTTGAGTATGTGGACTGTGAGAAAGCCTTTGATTCCGTCGAAATGACATTCCCTTCAGCAAGTTAACTGTATATAGAATCAAGTTGACTTTCGGTATATACCGAAGTGCTGGAATATTTGTACAGTAGGGATACGATGGCTATCAGCTTGTACAGAATTCGAGTACGAAACCTATACAACTGCAGAGAGGTGTTTTTTTTATAGGATAGGGTGACAAACTAGCACACATTTACATCTATCTTCGATTACAAATCAAAATGCAGATGCGTTGTCACTCGTGAGGACTAAGATTGAATGCCTCATTTTCAGTAAAGAGGGTCTCCAGTTCTCTACTCTCACCATACGAAACACAGCAGCATTAAGCTACCCATTTGTGCTACAACTATACTACTAATATAACTTCAGCATGACTCCACCAAGTATAAACAGGTGTAAGACAGGGTGATCTTATATCCCCGAAACCCTTTACAGCTACATTGGAAGACGTTTTCAAGTTACGGTATTAACATCAATGCCGAG